AGCAGTAGTAGCAGCAGTAGCGGTAGCAGTAGCAGCAGCAGCAGCAGCAGCAGCAGCAGCAGCAGCAGCAGCGGCAGTAGCTGTAGCAGTAGCTGTAGCAGTAGCAGTCGCAGTAGAGTAGCAGTAGCAGCAGCAGCAGCAGCAGCAGCAGCAGCAGCAGCAGCAGCAGTAGCAGTAGCAGTAGCAGTAGCGGTAGCAGTAGCAGTAGCAGTAGCTTTAGCAGTAGCCGTCGTACTAGCAGAAGTAGTAGTCGTAGTCCTCGTCGTCGTCGTCGTGGCAGTAATAGCACTATTACTTGCACTAGTACTAGTGCTATTACTAGTACCAAGATGCGGACACCAGCCGCATGTCTTGCGAAGTCTCGTGCCCTACCCTCGACCGCTAAATAAGAAAGCCTGAATCACCCTAACAATCAAGCGCGCTAATCCCCAGGCCCTATATTCTCTGTCCTTGAACGATACTAGATCGCTACATCCTAAACCACCGTGTGCTGCCAAGGTACAAACCTTCTCCTTACCTCCTCCCGTGGTGCTGTGGGTGCTGCACTGCTTGTCCTCGCTGGGTCTACGGCTTCGCGGGATTGTTCGTGGTTCAGGGTTTAGGGTTGTGAGCTCGGGATTAAGAAAGTTGCATCAACATGGTCAGCTTCGTGGCAACACAATCGTCATCGCCATCGTCGCCTATCATCTGCGCACACTCTAGCACCATCGATTGCAGGTAAAGCAAGTGGTGGCGAACAGTGACATTGCTTGTGCTGGCTGCTCCTACAACAAGGGTTTAGGTTTCAGGATGTTTCAGGATTTGGGGCACCATAAAGGCACCCTGAACCCTAAACCCTAANNCCCAAACCCCCTAACCCTAAACCCCTAAACCCTAGACCCTAAACCCCTAAACCCTAAACCCTAAACCCCTAAACCCCTAAACCCTAAACCCCTAAACCCTAAACCCTAAACCCTGACCCTAAAGGCCTCGGGTTTCAGGGCTTCGGGACCCACCCACAAGTCTCGGCTCCCACGTCCTCCTTCCACTGATAGATCTCCGAGCTCGCCTTGCGGACGAAACCCAACGCGCCGGCAGTGGAGAGGGTTTAGGGTTTAGGGTTTAGGGTTTAGGGTTTAGGGTTTAGGGTTTAGGCTAAAGGGTGAAGGGATAACATGACAGAAAGCAAGCAACACCATACAAACATTGACAATGACCAGCGGCGATGATGT